TATATATATATATATATATATATATATGTGTGTGTGTGTGTGTAAAAAACGATTTTTGTAAGATGTAGGGATTAAAACATAAACATTAAAAAGGTTAAATGAATAATTTAATTACCGAAATGATGGGTTGATGATTTAATCGATTTAGAAAGAAACGTTAAAGTTTGTAAATTTGTAACCCAAAATCAGTAAACCAAACGCAGTCGTTTAAAACACGTCGAGAACAGAGAGAAAACGTTACCGCAAGGGGTACTCCGAGAACGGCGAAGAAAACCATGGACCCAACTGTGACGCCGGTGGAGGGGTGGCCCACTGCGGCGGGGTTCATGTGGCGCTCGTGCTCCGCCACCTTGGTTATGACGATGGTCATCCCGAACCCAATCGCGAGAATGAAGTTCACGATGCCCCACAGCCTCTTCACTCCCCCAACCATGCGCCCCAACGGTTCAACCGCCAGCGACATGAACCCCAAAACGACGGCGTTTACCATGAGTCCCAGAGACCCCACGCGCACCCCCTTCGCGTACGCGTCCTCTCCAGCCGTTCCGCCGTACACCTCGCGACCCATCCAGTCAGTGTCGAACAGGAAGTAGGGGAACCACCCGACCCAGTTGATAGCTGTGACCAACATGAGCATCCACATGGGTCTTTTCAGCTCCTTCAACGCCCCGAAGAGCTGAAAGAAACACGAGGGCTGCACGTCCTCTTGCACCGCCCGTGGCGGTACGGGCTTGTCCTTTACGTAAATGAGAGCTACCGTGGCCAAGAACAGCAGCAACAAGATCGAGAAAAAGAAACAGCTTTTCAGATTGGCGCAGAAAACATCGCACGCCTTGGTCTGCGTGAAGGGAAAAATCTTGTGCAGAGAACTATAAGACCCCGCTGCGTATCCCAACACGTTGCCGACGGCCATGAAGAACGAGAAAAACCCATTTGCTATTCTGGTTTTTCTCTGGTCCCCAGCCGCTAAGTCAGCCAGAAAGGCACGGCAAGGACCTTGTAACATGTTGTTTGCAACATCTAGGATCCAAAATCCTATGACGAACACCCCAACGGCCCGAGGACGGGTTTTTTTGGTTATGTCGTCGCCAGCTGAGTACCCTATATCGGCTGCATAACCGATAAGAAATACAGCTATGGCGACAGCCACTGCACCTCCGAGAATAAAGGGGCGTCTGCGACCGAAGCGAGAAGTGCTTTTGTCGCTGTAGTACCCCACAATGGGCTGCACCACAAGTCCGGATATGGGACCGCAGAGCCAGATGAAGGAGGCTGCGGCGTGTGGAACTCCTAAGAGCTGAACGTAAGGGGTGAGCAGAGAAAGCTGAAGAGCCCACCCGAACTGTATGCCCGCGGCTATGGACGCCACAGCAAACATTTTTCGGAGTGGGCTCGGCTCAGCCTGGCTGGCCTCCACACTGAGGGTGGTGATGGAAGGCTTTGTTGGGTCAATGGGTTTGGTTGGAGATGGTGCCTCCATAGTGAAGAAATTTCCTCAAAAGAGAGAAACCTTGTTTGTCTCTCAGTGTGTTTTGTTTTCTCACAAGAGGAAGAACAAGAGAAGATATGTTGTGTGTGGAAGGAAAGAGGGAGTGTGGGATTTTATAGCGTGGGGAGAATGGATTCAACTAAATTTAGACAGTGAAATCTAGCTTAATGTGTGTGGATATATTTTTCATAATTCATAATGGATAATTAAGTTTATCCCTTTTTCTTCTCATATGTTATTATGTTCAGAGAGAGAGAGAGAGAAAGGGATCAAAGTGCAATGGGTCCTATTATTCTCAGCTTCTTCCTCGAATTCCTGTGATTTTACTTTTATCTTTTATCTTATCTTATCACCCCCTTAATGCATGAATTTCGGTTTACTGTTACATAAAGAATCTTTAGTTGTATGAAAAATTCTCCAACATCACCTCTCTCTAATTAGACCGTTAAAAAATAAAAAAGAAAGAAAAAAGTGTAAATATAATATACGGTATAGTTTAAGAAAATTAAAAAAAAATATCAAGTAGTGTATATTTATACAATATCTATATATTAATTAGGGTTGTGGCATATGGGTTAAGGGATAGGACAGAGTATAAATAGAGACAGGGATGCGCAGAGGGATCCATGTTGATTCAGCAATCTTGTGACTGTTAAAATAAGAGTGAGGTGCATTTTAGCAACCAATATGATGAGAGTTTATTACTATTAACAGCAGAGAGAGCTTTGAAAAATGAGAATGAAGACAAAAATAGACCTCCTGGCTTGAACACGGACTGGGGAAGGGCTTACGTACAATGCATGATCTTTGTCTTTTACCATGCCATAAAAAAAATAACATAAAAAAATAACAAAGTGTTTCAGGTTTTAAGATTAAGTAAAATAATATTAGTTTTTATTTATTTATAAATAATAAATAAAATACTAATCATGATATGAGGAATCAGGATTCATACACGGTAGGAAAAGGGAACACCGAAATCGAATTAGATTATTAGCTGTGGCGTGGGTGTATGTGTGCGATTGTGATTTATTATTTGGATTTTCAGATATATTCAGGAAGATAATAACAGATTAATTTTGAAACAGTAATATCAAATTTATAAGTTTCCACTAAAAAAATACTTTGTATATACTTTATTCTATCTAGGAAAGACTATTGAATTAAAAATTAATAAATAAGATAACATAATTTTTGCACTCCGTGCAGCATAATAATATATTACTTTTAATAGCTTGTACGTATTGTTTCATTTATAAAACAATTTTTTTTCCTTAAGAAAATTGTAATTTGCTTTCGATTAGAAGTTTATGCCGACTCAATGGTCAGTGCTAACTTAAACTTAGCATGCGTATTTCAAGGTGAAGGATTTAAAGCAAAAAGTTGTGTAAGATCTAAAGCTCAAAACAAAAACTTTGGGTTATTGATTTAAAACAACCTTCTTAAAAAAAAGGAGAAATATTATCTTTTAACATCTATAAAGTGACAATAGTAATATTGATGAGTGCATATTTATGTTCACATTTATGATTTCAAATTTTTGATAAGATTCTTGTGCTTACATGATTGATTTAAAATAAGATTTATGATGATTGGCTTTATCAGGTTTGAAAATTAAATATGTTTAAAATGTGATTTTAGTTGCATAAATTATTTTGGATAGTCTAATGTCTGTTGATGCAGCTGCAATTAAAGTTTGAATTACAATGCTGAAAAGAAGGAAAAGGCTAAAGTACAATTAGAGGAAATTTCTGGACCTTATGTGCTATTTTGAATAAAATAAAAGGATTGAAATGTAATTTGGGCAAGTTTTTTTAAAAGATAATTTGGAGAAAATATATCTTAAGATATTTTATTTGATATTGTTAAATAATTACCTAATTTAACTATATCAATAAAAAATCAAAAGATAATATTTGCCAAATCTTTTTGTATCTAGAAAAGATTTATCAAATATTCTCAAAAATTGATAAATCTGTTGAATATTTGGAGATATTATATATAAGATAAAAAATCTTATCAACAGAATATTCAGAGTCACAAACTCAATCAAGTATATAAAGAGACTCAAGGGAGGCAGAAAACATAACTCATTCATTCTCAGACTCTCCACTTGGAAGCATTCATCCACCACTCCTCTCATTTATTTCATCAGTATTCTACCCATTCATGGAGGGCTAAGCTCCTGGCTATTCCACTGTAATTTCATTATGGATTTTGAGGATAAGTGAATTAATGCCAATTGTTTCTTTTGATTATTGATTTGAGTTATTCTTCTTCTATGCTTTCATCTCTCGATCATATTAAAAGTAATGATTTTTGCATCATAAGGTGTGGAATCTACATGCATATTAATCATATGAGTTCAAGGGTTCTAGGTTTGATTGAGAATCTACTTGATTAGTTAGGAACTTTCATATGATTAAACGAGTTTTTTGCTATCAATTGAGAATGTACTTTGATTGGGTGGTAATAATTTCAACTATAATTAATTGAGAATTTACTTTGATTAATTGCTTTTAATTGATTAGGAGATTAAGAATAGACATGATTAAACACAATAGAATTGATTGAGAATGTACTTTGGTTGAATTCATTGTGAATAATCTAGAAAGGTCTTGCATTTGATTGAGAATCTACTTTGGTTAACTGCATGATTCACACTCAAAAAATTAAGAATGTACTTTAATTAATTTGAAACTTAAACAATAATCAATTGAACAATTATATGTGGATAACCGATGATGAATCTATCTTAGAAAAGCAGTGGAATTAGCCTATTTCATCATAATTGTTTCTAAGTTTCCTCTTTGTTCTTCAAAAATCTTCAAACAGTAATTTATTACCATAATTTCTCACTTTTATTCTTGAGATTGCATAGCTTCATAAAATTCAAATATTGAAAAGCAATTTTGTATTTGTTGGGAGACGACTCAGGGTTACTTTAACCCTATCTACTCTCTGAATACTACTTGGCAATACTGAAGGTTCCTTGAAAAGTAGTATTATTTGATAGCTTCAACGACAACGTATCAAATATCAATCATAGTATCATATAGTTGGTAAACACATCCCATAGATCCATATGTAACAACAAATAACAAATGATTATTAGAATATATAGTAAGTATGAGAGATTTAAAATAGTGTAAGTTTTGTAAAACATGCATTAGGATATAGTAGGGGCATGAGTGTTCGAAATTGAACTGATGTAAAAACAAGAAAAAAATGAAAGAAAACACATTTAAATTACTAATAATCAATAAATTGAAAATTTTAGATTGATATGTGTTTTGTTATATAATTATGTAGGGCCCAAAGACACACCTTTCTGTTGTTTCGCCTTTTTCCTTATATCTGACCTATGAACCTCATTACTTCCAAATTCTTCTAGTCCGAGCCAAAAAAGGTACTTTGACGCTCAAGTCAGTGACTTTGCGTGATTATAGTGATAATATTCAACAAAAAGTGAGTACTCATAATTAGTTACCTGACATTCCTATCAAACATATATTTATAAATATTAAAATGAGCTTACCCTTAGGTCTGACCCATTACCAACAAACGGTTAATATTTTTTTTAACTGTCAATGAGTTGTAACTATCTCAATAGCTATATTCACTAATTGGTTAAGAGTTGTTAATTATTTGTTTACCCAATCCATTGACCCAATAATAATAACTTTAGCGCTGCCCCAATTAAAGGGATGACCCAAACGGTATGAGTTTACCGTTCGGGTTAGATACCATACCATACAATATGGATTTGTTTTCCAAAATTTAATGGTTCAGTTGACATTTTATAAGTGATCCAAACTAAACTAAACTCAAATCTCATTATGTATTGTTTATGAGTATATGGATTTTATGATTTTTCATCTCTAATCAATTAATTGATCTCTTGACCCACATATTCATTTACATTGAGTTAGTAAATTTCAGTTTTTTTAATAGTGTTGTATTTGAGTGTTTATGATCCACGATTATGAATTTAAAAGCAATTTGTTTATAATAAAAATCAACGTCACAAATATTTTTAAGTCATTGAGCTCTTGCTTAATATGGACTTCAATAACTAATTCATGATATTTCTTTAAATAATCATATTTTTAGTATTTTTATTATTTTTCAACAAGTAAGGTCATGAATGAAAAAAAAGATAAAACCGAGAATTATAAATGAAGATAATGAAGATAAAATGTTTGATAACTTAAATTGCATGAAAATAAATTACTGAGGATAAAATAGTGTCAATCATAATTAATTTATCTTCTTAAATATTTTCATATGATCTCCTAAGAATAATCTAGACAATTCATAGATTGATTTATTCTCCCTAGTTTCAAATTATAGGATATTTTGTAATTGTGAGTATTAGTTATTATAAATATTCCTAGTATTATTTATAGTAGGAATAAGAATACTAAAAGGCGTTAAGCCATTTTTCATGACATGTTATCAACTAAAGCATGATCCATTTTTTTCTCTCTTACTGAAAGGTTTTCTAGTTTCGTAGTTCTTGTTCCAAGTTTTGTGGCTTTTGTACCCTTGCCCATCATTCTTGTTCTTGATCTGGGTAATGGACTTGATTCATGGTTCTCATTCATCGTTTTGTTCATGACTTCAGACTTCTTACTGTGCACTCAAAAAAACATTGGTCTTGTCTTTTTAACCATCACCGTGACTACCCTACATAAATACATTTTTTGTGTTCACTTAAAATCGAACAGAAGTATTTTTCTTGAGAAATTTCAAGTCAAGAGTATGTCAAAGGAAAACGATTATGGGGTCATTGGATTGAGATAACGCCGCCCACAAGGAGAAGTTGTCTTGGTACACGGGTGTAAAAAGATGCTCAAAATATTTCTTGGATCGTTGACACTATAAATCCCAAATTATCAATAATTTATGCTCTTTTTACATCTGTTCAACAAATGTGGGATTGTTTGAAGCACATCTACAACCAAGAGAATACGACTATGTTTTTAGTTGGAATGATAACTAATTACAACCAAGGTAATTTGTCTATTCAAGAGTGTTATTATGGTTTTCTGAATCTGTGGACAACAAACTATGTCATTTTATATGTAGTTGTTTTCCATACATCACTCTTGGGA